ACCCATGGATGGAGGACAGGGAGACGGGGGGGGGGCGGGGGGGGCGGAGGGAGGGAGTGGAGGCAAAGGGGGGCGGGGCAGGGGGCGAGGAGGGGGGAGTGCGTCTCGGAGTGGGGCTGGATGCGGTCCGGAGCGGGGATGCATCTTGGCCTCTCCTCAAGAGTGCCTTGCCGCGCCTCTAGACCCCCCGGCTGGGCGTCGGGGGGTGAGGGGGAGGAGGCAGGGGAGCCATCCAACTGGCCGGCCGGCTGACTGGCCGGGGGAGAAGGGGCGGACGAGCGGCCGGCGGGGGACGAACTGCGCCTCAATCTGGGGGCCGGGGGGCGCCCCGCGGTTAGATGCGTCGGCCGACGGTGGGGCCGCAGTCCCATCGGAAAGTGACGAGACGGCTGGGGCGGGCCAGGCTGCGGCGAACCCCGGGCGCGGCCGGGCCGCCGGCGCCGTTGTCTGGGAAATGTCAATCGGCCGTGGGCGTGTGGGCGGGCACACGCCGCAGTTCGCGCGCGGGGGGGCGCCCGGCGCCAGGGGGGACGGGGCGCGCCGGAGGGCCAGCTAACCGGGGGCGGGGGGGGGGAGGGTCTCACTTGTCCCGGGGGAGCGGCGGGCCGGCGGGGCGCGCAACGTGACTCGGGTCGCCGCGAGGGCGAGGGCGGCCGCCGCGCCTCCGATCTCTGCCAGCGGGAGGGCCGGCCGGCTCGGGGGCACCAAGCGCCGGAAGGCAGGGGGGGGGGGGGCGGGGGGGCAGGGCGATCTGGCTGACATGCGTCCGCTGCGGCCCCTGGGCGTGGCACACGCCCGGCGGGCGAGGGCCGCACCGGCCGGACGTTGCTGGACGCATGACTGGACGCAGGCCTCGCCGGCGGGGGGGGGGGCCCTCGCTGCCCAGCCACAGCATGCCATCCTCTCCGGTGCCCCCTCCTCCACAACCGGCCGTCCGCCGCCATCAACCCCGCGGCTCCTCGCCGACGAGGAAGCGAACAAGCCCTGGCTGCCGGCGTGGGCGTCTGGGGCCGGGCGAACGGCCGCGCGCGCCACCCCCCCTCGGGGGGGGGGGGCGGGGAGAAGAGAAAAGGGCCGCGGCCGGGCGCACCCCCGGCCGGGCGGCGGGCCACCAATCCGGCAGGTATGCTCGCACACGCGCGCGTGCGAAAGTATGCACGGGTGTAAACGGCCCCCGCGTACGGGATACCCGGAAAGAGGGTCCGAAAATATGGTGCGCAAGGGCGCTGAAAAGGATCGCACGCGCGCGGAAGCGTGTCAGCCCGACCTCCCCGAGCGGGATCCCGGTTGCCGAGGGCGGGCGGCCAACACCAGCAGGGGGAAAAAAAGAAGGGACCAGCACCGGCCAGCCGGCCGGGGGCGCGGGTCTGTCCGAAGGGTGGCCGGGGTTGGGGGCCGAGGACGACCCGCCGCCGGCGGCCGGGCGCCGCTCCCGAGGCGGCCCTCCTTCTCGGGGCCTGTGGCGGCGCCTGTGTCGCGGGTCCCGCCCGCGCCGCGCCCGCGTCCACACACACCCCCCCCCCCCGCCCCCCGCGGGTTGCTCGGCGCCGACGGAAGGAGAGGAACAAGCTGTGCTGGGCGCGCGGCCGGCCCCGGTGGGACCGTCGGAACGGGGCCGTTGTCTAGCGGGCCCGGGCCGGCCTCCCGGGTTGAGAGGCCGGCCCGGGCCGCGAGACCGCGCCGCAGCCAGCCCCATCGTGAGAGTGTCGGGCGCGGCGCGGGGTCACTGGGCCCCGGGGGCAGGGCCCGGCCTCGCCACAGAAGCGCACGCATGCCGGGGCTCCCACGGATCAGCGGAGGGCCAGAGCCTGCGCCCCTTGCCACCGCCGAGCTCCCGGTGTCCTCATGCGGCAGCGGGAAGCACGAGGGCGAATGCGGGCGGAAAATAAAATAAAGGGAGCCCTCGACGCGGGCGCCGGCGCCCGAGGCTGCCGGACCGGGGGGGGGGGGGGGTGCGGAGAAGGGGGGACGCCGGGAGGCGTGCGAACGCGCGCCGGCGATGGTGGGGGCCCAGTGTGCCAATCCCCAGATGTTTCACACTCCCCATGGAGCCAGTGTGCCCGGCTACTACCGGACACCATGTCAGCACCGGGGTGTTTGCCGGGCGCATGCGTGCGCCGGTGTGCACGCGGCCGCCTGCCTATGCATTCGGCCGGCCCCGGCAAACCGGGGTGGACCTAGCTCTGTGTCGCGTGAGGAGGGCGACCATGGCGGGGCGCGGGCGCGGGGGGCGGGGGGGGGGGGGGGGGG